TATCTTACATGTAATGTTACTGTGTGTTCCTAAATCTACTGAACAGACATCCATCCTTTAGACATATGTATATCTTACATGTAATGTTACTGTGTCCTTCAATTTATGATGCCTAATCTCATATGGAATGTAACTAGTGTTTCCATGATCAGGTTGATTTAGTTTTTACAGACCTATAACCTCCGACAGAGATTTTCACAGGTTTTTTTTCAGTCTGTGATAATCAGGCTGATGTAGTTTAAAAAGAGATACAACTCTAGAAGAAGTGAACTGAAATGTTCTTTATCTACTGATCACACTGACATGTTATAGACAGACATATACCTACAAACAGAAATTAACCATGTGTTCATATACCTGCTAATGAAACTTGTGTATTTCAAACCCATTTACAGTCCTAGATGGAATAAAATTATGCATTTTTGCACCTACTGACAAACATATAACCCAAAATGAAGAGTAATACTCTTTGGTCTAGTGATCATACTGAAGTACTTTGGAAAGATATATTACTCCAGTGTGTGTGTTTATGTTTAATACATTAAATAATCAGACAGATGTGTAAAATCCTATATGGAGAGTAACCATACACATCTTGTTACACTGATAAAATTAATATAGTTTAAACATAGCTCCAGCCATCTATGTATTCCTCCTTTTACTGATCAGATCAACACAGTTTAGATACAGGTAACATTGAATGGAAAGTAATTATGTACTGTAATTATCACTGATTAGATTCATGTATTTTAGAGATGTAATACCACAGAAAGAGAGTACCTATGTACTTCACCCTTACAGATGTATAACACATGACTGAACATTACTATATACTCTTTACTTCCACCAATCATAGTGATGTTATTTGAGATGTTATTACATCTCAAATAACATCACTATGATTGGTGGAAGTAAAGAGTATATAGTAATGTTCAGTCATGTGTTATACATCTGTAAGGGTGAAGTAGATAGGTACTCTCTTTCTGTGGTATTACATCTCAAATAACATCACTATGATTGGTGGAAGTAAAGAGTATATAGTAATGTTCAGTCATGTGTTATACATCTGTAAGGGTGAAGTAGATAGGTACTCTCTTTCTGTGGTATTTTCCACAACAAGTACACATGTACACAGTAGTCTTCAGTGATTCATAAGTTACTTTTTATATTAATTTAGTCTTGATCAATATAGTCAGCTTAGTCTTGAAAAGAAGTTATTAATTTCTATATCTATATATCTATTTACAGGTATTTCATCCTTACAGAGTAATGCTGCTCTGTTTCCATTTCTAACAATCAGATTTATATAGTTTAAACGTATAAGTCCATTCAGGTGGAGTGTAACTGTGTTTTCAGACTGATGTAACTCATATGTTGTATAACTAAATGTTACTGCTCATAGAGTATACAAGTAACTATCATATTATGTGCATTAATTAAAACGCATTAAAACTGTTCAAATATAACTAACAACCTGGCCATCTGTTAGATATCTAAAATAACACAAACAACTATTCCTTCCATGTTTATACACTTTACACACTTAGAAAGTATGCGATAAACACAGTAAGTTATAAAAGTATACATAATTTTATATTAAAAAACCACGTACTTGTAGATTTGACTTCTAAACATTTTGGCATTTCTTTTATCCCCCCATCATCAATTGTATCAACACAGAATGACATAAGTGATAATATTTTCAGGCACTGTTTACAAGAGTTTTAATCCTCATGCTACATTACTATTTTTGTCGACATTGCAAAGTAATGTGCACAAGTTTCTATTGAAATGTATTTGATATTTTGCTCTACTGCTAGATGTCACCGAGTTTTAAAAATTTTTTTTATAAAAATGAATTTAGCATTTTTATAAAAGTTAACATTTCAGTTTTTAAATATTAACACTTAAGGTTAAAATAAAAATCTGATAAGTGTCTAGATAAGAACCGAGATATTTACAAAATCATAAAATATTATTCCACTTCTCTAGTACAAACAAGGTGATTGGTCTTCTTTACAATTCAAACATTCAACAATGATTTCTATAGTTTTATGTAAGTTACATATAAGGTATTTTACATTCATGAGGGAGAGCCCCCCTGCGGGGATAAAAAGTATGTTTGAGAGAGTAGTTCAGAAGATTAGTGACACAAGACATGTATATATCTGAGTAACGGAAGAGTCGCCGAGAGAAATAAGTTGGGTTATGGTGAGTTCTGAAGATACTTCCAAACTGGGGATTAAAGAGTGATTTGGTTGTATTTCTATAAGATAAAAAGAAATTATACAAACTTCTGTTAGTAATAATAAAACCTAAGTGTTTAGCTCAGTGACAGTTACAATTATTATACTTTCACTACAGCAGTAGCTCTTTCATTAACAACCTTACGTTAACACTTACAATACCAGTAATACTATAAATAATTTTTATACTATTACTAAAGGATATACTGATTTATCTTCATTGTAAATAAATAATAAAATCACAATGGAACTTTTGGAAAGAAAAATATCAAACTAATTACTTATAGCTCGAAAGCTAACGTGAAATTAATTTCACCACAAAAAAATTATAAACGGAAATTTAAAAACCATCAATATCAAAAATGCTAGCGTCATGTGCAAAAATAACTATTAGCAAATATAAATTATCATTGTTCTTTTTTTTAAACTTTTCATCTTATAACGGTATACACATATCAGGTGTTATAAAAAAAATCATTAAACTATAAAATTACATCGTAACTGTAGCCTTCACAAACATAAAAGTAACTCATAGTTTTATGAAACTTTCCATTTGTTGGTGGTTTAAAATAATTTTATGAAACAACTAAAAATACTATATTTCATATAGAAATTAAGTACACAACACTGTAAGTTACTTTTAATGGATTTGTTTTAGGAATTGTATATTTCTAATATAACAACTTACCATAACTGATATTTTCAATAACAAAAAATAATTTAGAATTATTTATCATCTCTGTTCTGAATGACAAGTCTCCAGCTTACCTTAACTGATCTCTCTCTTCTAACAATTCTGCTATTATCTCTTCAGCATCTTCGTGGTCCTAAAATTATTATAATAGAAACTGTGATTTTACTGAAAACATTTAATTTTTTATACCATTAAGAGTTATAAAAAAAGAATAAAAACTTACCTGCATTTCTTCTATCAAATGTTGCAATGTCTGCATCCAGCTAACGGCATGTCGAAATTCTTCTGAATTCAGAATCTTTATTTCATTCTAAAACAAAAAAAATTTTAAACGTATTTGAAATCCAATATACTCTTTCTGGATAGTCCTTGGTGTCCCAAGTTGATCCATATTCTTTTGTTTTTCAATGCTTTTAAGTACAAGAGATATCTCCACCTTGGAAATACTAAATTCCCAATCTAACCACATCTTTATTACCTAATTGTATGAATGTTTTGCACTGAAAAGGACTGTTACATACCCTTCCCAAAATCAATGCCTTTTTGGTGGCATTACACTACTTATGAAATCCAAAACAATAACAAAATGTAGGTCTGACAAATGCTTTTCCACCACAACTATATTTTGGCTCTGGTTGTCATGTGACAAGAGTTTTAATATAACATACTCAACCCTCTGTAACAGTCTTAACAATACTTAATGGATTAACTCAAGCATAAAAAGATTAAATCATACAGACATTTCAGACTCAAGATTTCAATAAATATGTTATCATCATATTATGGCATAAAACATTAGTTATAAACTGATTTGTAAGTGAGAAAATGAGTGGAATTCTTTTTTAGACCAACTACATTTTTAAAACAGCATGGGTTATGAAAACAATATTCAGCTGATTAAATGATTTACAAAAACCTTCTGTAGAATAAATAACTTACTGCTAATTCATCAATAATTGCTCCAGTTTTCCAGCCATAATGAAGGGTTAGATCAGCTAAATCATTGTAGATCTGATCTCCAAAATACAATACAGAGCTACCTCGCCACCCTGTCATTTCCTGTAGCTGTTTTAATGTGCCCTATAAATACAGTAGATGTAATTTATATTTTATGAAACATACAGAATGGTAAGCACTCTTTCTTAAAGAGTACAACTTACTAGAAGAAAAAAAATGCAATATTAAAAGTGACAAAGCATATTTTCAACATAATTCTAGTGTAATTTAAGTATAATTTTAACATTAAACCCTCAAATAATATACAAATTTATGTAAAAATTAAAATATTAATATCCATTTTAAAATTTTTGACTGTAACATGTGAGGCACATTCTATAAAAATGGATGTATGTTTTAAAAAAATTTCAGTTTGTCACTTCTTTTTATTGAAAATGATGTAATTTAATTTCCACACAGAAAACAATTTTAAACTTTCTTAAGATCTCACAAATTTCGTGTTTCCTTCTTTAACTATAGGAAGCTCTATTCCTTGTTGTTATTAATATTTTATATCATAGATTCCATTCTTCATGAGTTTTCAAAAATTTTCTTTTTATGTTTCTGTTTCATCTTTTTTTTTAACAATGAACAATTCATCATTATCATGTTCAGGTGTTTTGTGATTAAGGTTTGGTAAGAAATTAAGAAAGGTTCGGCCTAATAATATAAAAGTTAATTTACTAGAGCATGTATTCAAACCTTGTTGCCCACTTTGTGACAGTCAAACGTGATATTCTAATTATAAAAACTGTATATTTTACTAAAATATAGAGCATTGGAAATAACTATGGAAATCCACAGGAGATACACATGCAATGAATAAGTGCAACTAAATGGTCAGTTTATCATAAATACAATGAATTATCATAGAAAATAAAAGTGAATATGTTGTACAATGCATTAGTATTTTGTATGTACTTCAAACAGAGTAGTACACTTTGTTCATGCTACCAATTTTTTCAAAAAATGACTAAGAAATATTTTTCTAAATGTCCTATACTACTCCCCCCCCCAATTCAGCAAAGTTGTTTCGTTGATATTTGACATTCTCAGTTTTCCATATAAGCTTATTTATACCAAGACTTTGTGTGGGTCAATTTTATCTACCAGGTATCATTTAACCACATTTCTGCATGCTTGGATCACTGTCTTGCTGGAAAATGAACCCTTGCCTACCATGTCTTGTTCCCAAGGGAAAGAAATGATAGATAAAAATTTACTTGTACCCATCAGCAGTCAGGGTGCCATCAATTTTGTGTATATTTCTAACCCCACTACCTGAAATGCAGTCCAACTCTTGTATTGGACCCTCAGCATGTTTCACTGTAGATGTTGAACATTAACCATGATATTGTCCTCTCCTCTGTTATTGAACAAACTATCATTGATTTTTGCTAAACAATTTGCATGCACTTGTAAAGAGCAACCTATCACAGCTTTTCTAAGCAGCTGATTTTGAGAAGCTTAACATCCACTAAGGCCATTTCATTTTAATGTGTACCTTAATGTTCTGGAAGTAACATTCACACACATCCTTAGACTTGGGTCATTGGCAAGTTCCCTAATGGATTATAGTGTATCATATAAGGAGCAAACGTTGAATTGGTTAACATCACTTTTGTAAAGCATAAACTTTCTACCTTAACAGCTTCTATTATCAACAGTACAAATTTCATGTACTCTCTTCAAGGTATTCCTACAGTCTCTAATGAAATATGAAAATTTACCTCATTTTGTTGCATAGCCCTTCCCAGCCAAAACTTTGATTTCTACAGATTTCTGTCCTGGGAGCCATGAGTTTGTCATTACACTACTGATAGGAACAGTATAACTACCTGTACGTTTATAGACATAATTCTGGTGTGGCACTGGTAATTGGTTGGTTGACAGTCAATCACAAAGCAAACTAGCAGCACACAGTTGATCTCTGGTGAATTTTCCATACAACTGGGGAGGGGGGAGTAATAATCCCATAATATTTGCATTTTATGCTAATCCTATTCACTATTTTCATTATTGTTTTCAATACTGAACATAGATTGATACAAAAAGTTAAATATTTAATGTGTACATGGTTTCTACTCATTGTTCTTTGTAGTTACACCTAAAATATTAACTATTCTACACTGTCATACCTCCATATAAATCTTTCCCTTTTTCATCATGGTTACCCTTTCCCACAGTTGACTTCGAGTGATAGGGTCAAAGATTCTGACAGGCCTGGAGAAAAAAATATAATAAAAAATTTCAAGCAAATAATTATCTAAATTAGCTGTGGAGCAAACAATTTTTTCAAACATCTAAGTTAAAGCTGAAAAAAGTAGACTGAATTAATAATCACTGATGTTTTCACAATTTGATAAACAAGGTACAAAAAAATCACTTTGTTATTATCACCTGAAGGTCTAATAAATACTAATTAATTCTAATAATCAGGATTGTTCTGTTTGCCTGACAATGTGGAAACTAATGTAAAATGTAGCTTACCAGCATGCTTGTTAAATGCTATAAAAACTTTGTCCAGTATCTGGTTTTATTCATCTATGAAGCATTAAATATTATACAGTTTTTTACTTGTGTGGAAAACACTTAGAACAGTGGTGAATATTATTACAGTAGACATTTTTACTCAAGAAATCAGAATATAAGTGAATAATGATAATAATGATTTGTAAAAGTAGTTTTTATTTAAGTTAAAGAATTTTGATGTGGTACTAGAAACAGATATTTTATGATCATAAAGAGCATTTTCTCTAGGATTAACTTTCTTTTATTTCTTAACCAATAAACCTAGAGTAAGAATCAGATAAATGTGTGTTAAAGAACAAACCACACCTATGTTGCTCAGTAAAGAATTTAGGTTTTCTTGCTTGAACAATTATAATATCAAAAAGTTCTCTCCAATTTGGACCAATCATATATTTCATACCATGGTGCCTGGTTAAAAATAAAAAACAAAAACACAGCCATTAGATTTCATTAACTGAATATATTTAAAACTACAAAAACACATGCAAAAGTAAAAAAACTGTGTTAACAATCATCACATTTAAATTTTGTTACATCCATAAGTGGCAAGCAGAGATTATTTATGGGTTGATTTATCTGAACTTGAAAAAAATTGTAAAACAAAAATGCATGATCTTCAAAAATTTGTTTAATATGCTTGTATATACTTGGTTAATTAAAGCTTGGATACAGTAATAAGCTAGATGCAAAAAAAAAAGAAACAAGCAAAAAGAGAAAAAATTCATTAATATTTATTTACCTGTTAAGCAATTTTCCTAAAATTGAAACAGAAAATTAAAATAGTTAAACTCTAACAATTTCATCCAAAATCTTTAAATAACCTATATAAGCTACATTTTACATTAGAAATTTAAAAGACTTTCAGAAACTTCTTTCTGGTATATTAAATAAATACTTTTTTTGTATATATAAATGTAGATTTTAGTTTATCATTTGAAAGAAAGTTCAGAAGTTTTAACTAATAAGGTATAAATTTGTTTATCTTACTTTAATGTAGTGAATGTTTTCTATCATATTTTAAATTATTTCAACACATAAATAAACTTCTACCAATTGTTTTAACATACCATTCCCTTACTTTTATCAATACTTCATATTAAAGCTATACAGCTAAATGAAGTTTAGTGTCTTTTTATGTGTTCATATAAGTTTATTAACTGTGTCAGTGATTACACTTTTCATCAACTATTCTCTACTCCACACATAAAGTGAATTTTTCCTAATTTGAGAAACAACCAACTGAAAGCTATTTTCACATTAGTCAAATTATTTGTACCAGAATTTTCATGAAAAACTACACAAAAGGCTATACGCACATAGTCATCCCTCACATAGCCCCCACTGCCAAATCTTGAACTACTTTTGGCCGACCATGGGATCTGACTGTTACTCTTATAATGCACCCATGAACCCAAAGTGCAGGCCTAATTTTTGTAGTAAGAATATGAGAACCATCAACACTCAGGTTCACAGTTTGGGCATACTAGCCTATAGGCCTTGCCCATTAAGAGAAATATTTAGATGTGAACAAAATATTAAAGTTTTCTGTAACAACACACAATTTATCAAGCTAACTACAATGATCTGCCTAAAAAAATTATTCATTTAAAAATACAAATCATTCTATGATGTTTTCCATCCTTTCTTTGTAGGTATATCAATTACTGAGTATATTTTATCTAAGTCATAATTCAAAACAAGGTTTAAAAAAATCACAAAACTCATTTGCTCTCACAAACTTGTTATATACAGAAATCCTGATTCTTTAGCCAGTAACATTATTAACTTTGTGATAGGTTTTAGAAAGTTTTGTGTTTTGTTGAACTTTGTGCAAAGCTACTCGAGAGCTATCTGCACTAGCCATCCCTAATTTTGAAGTGATAGACTAGAGTGAAAGCAACTAATCAACACCACTTTACTTCCAACTCTTGAGCTACTTTTTATCAATGAAAAGTAGGATTAACTGTCACATTACGATGCCCCTAAATTGGTGATGGGATTCAAACCCTAACCACCAAGACCATATTATTAGAAGGAATCCTTAAAATAATTTATTTGAAAGATGATTCAGTTATTGCAAAATCAGTGTAAGTGGTAACTGTTTAATATCGAACGGTCACTGTTGATAAGAATGGCTGGAATTCAATTGCTTAAGTGTACAGTAACTACTTTATCCATCTGTTTTTGGTGAAGAAATTATACTTCAGTGTTAATAGTAATGAAAAAATTAAATAGATAATTATAGAAATTAATAAATTTATCATGAATGCACATGTAAAAAAAAAAGTTAGATATCAAAATCACTTACACAAATTTAAAAGGACTGTTGGTCACCAAAAACATTTTTTCCCTGCATTTTGCAGCCGGTGAAGAAACAGTGATAATTCTTCATTTTTTTCTAAATAATTTTCTGAAATAATAAAATTTAAAGAAATTTTAAAATGCTGATGAGACTTATAATTTGAAATTGAAATTGATGTTACTCATTATAAACATTTAAGGGTAGTCAAGTAAAATGCACACAGTGAATACATTAAAGTTCAAGAAGTATTACATGGTAAACATTATACTTTGAAACAGTTGTTTTCAGAAATAAAAGTAATTCCTGAACAGGGCACTGAAGAACAATCTTTTATACACTCTACTCTTTATAATAGTCATTAATTTAAAATTTTTCTTAATTCATTTGCACTACTTTATCAAATATTTAGACTTTTTTTTTACCAAAGTAGGTCACTAAATAACAGTCTTTGATCACATGCTGAAATCTGCAGTAATTATTCTGTGACACTAAACAGATTTCCAGTCATAGTTTCTATTGTAAACAAAACTTCTGGATGGTTTGACTTAGAATCGAGACACCTAGGTATGTGAATGAATGAAACAAAGAAGAACAGATGTTAATGAAAATATAAGATTTTATAAAATGTAATAGCACTGATTGCAAGGAATGAGTGTGAAAAACAAGTAGAAATATTTTTGTATCAAAAGTGGTGCTACACTGTTGCAAAATTGTCTTGTTCGACCTAATTTAGCAGCAACAGATTCTTACAAGTGTTCTAGAGTGGAATTATACGTTCTCTTATTCCTATAGAATTAACATTATCCAACACAGAAAATGTATTTATGATAAGATACTTACCTTGATATGCACAATTTTTTTGCTCGCCACTGGCCTTAAGGGTCCAACCTAAGCTTATGTGTTTCCACGTGGTATTGCTGCACTGTAGTATGCAAATGAGCTTATTGACAAACCTCCACCACCAGGGGTGTGACACACCTTCCTACCACAGCTGACTCCCTCTATACTGATTGTTCAATCACAATTTCAAAATTAGACAAGAAAATATGTACTGGAAGTGGGGAGGATGTGTGGAAAGTGTGAGAAGAGGTAAGTATCTATCAGAAATACATTTTCAGTATTGGAAAATGTTAATTTCCAATACGATACCTTACCTCCACACACATATATTAGCTAGAAGTCAAGGATAGACTGGTGTAAAAGTTATCTAGATGAGCCCCTTCAAAAAGTGCTGAAAGAGAACCCCAGGGAGTATGACACCCTACACCATGAAAATATACAGACACACCCATGGCAAATTGCACCCCTTCTGTACCAATGTATACTCTTCACCCATAGTGAAGATATGTGTCACTAAATCGGGCAGAAAAGAAGAAAGTCCACAAACACTGTATGGAAAATGGTCAAATTGTATGGTGTAGTATTCTAGGATGCATCAGACTGTATGTGGTTAGTCAACTCCAGTGCTAATCCAGGCAGTATCTGGTATTTTTCCTCCGGTCTATGGTAGGCGGAGGGTCCCAACCATCTTCACTTCCAGGAAGCAGAAAGGAATAGTAACTTCTGTTTTGCCAACCTAGGTACAGCTCATATGAGCTGACCATGCATCGGGAATTTTCCTTCCAATCCATAGTGAGAGGAGGGTTCCTACCAACCATGAGTGAGGACTTATGTTGGCTGGTGCTGTGGCAATCCAACACTAGACTGCCCAGAAACTGACATTGAGGCAGCGGTAGAATGGGGGAAAGCCAGCCAGAGAGGTGAACTGTACATTCAGAGGATGGCCAGATGATGAAGATAATGTGCACCAAAAATGTCGGGTAATCCACACACCAGCCCACAAGATCTCCTCCAATGGATGATGGAAGTGAGCAGCCAGAGAGGGTAAGGTGTCAAATGTGGTGAGAGGAGACCTGAAAGAGTCAATGTGAATCTACATCTAATGAAGCATAGGCTAGATAGATGAGCTGCTGTAACCTTCCCGTGAGGATAATAGGAGAAATATCTTGGGGTGATGAAGAATTCCAAAGAATAAATAGACAGGAGTGTGAACTGTGAAAAGGAGCAGTGTGGGCCAAATAACAATGAACCACATGGATGGGACAGAGAAAATAATCTGGATCGGAATGAGAATAAAAGTGAGAAATGTAATGAAGAGAAAAAGAAATGAATGCACTGACCCTTTCATGAGCCAATGATATAAAAAACGATAGAAAAGCAAGAGCAAGATAATGAAGATTATAAGAGTGATAGAAAAGAATACAGGAAGCATCATTCGCATACACATCAGATATCCTATGACTACAGGCAAAAAAGTAAGAAACACGATTTAAAGGAAAGATGGTACAAAGAACAGGAGACTAAAGGTTCAGAGAAAGGAAGAGTAAGGGCATGAAGAACAACATTTAGGTCCCAACCAGGAAGGACTGCAGGATGAGGAGGATGAAGATGGCAAAAAGAATGAAAGAACGTAGAAAGAACAGGAGAGAAGAATACAAGATAATAATGGGAAAATATTAAAGTATTACATAGAACTTGCCTATAGCCAGCAATGGCCAAAAGTGATAAACCTTGTCATGTAAAAATTCAGTAAGATGGGGGATAAAAAGGCAGGAAGCATGATGCAATGACCAACTAATTTTGTGTGCCATTTTCGTGGATGGACAATGAGGGAGGAAGAACAAACAGAACCAGAAAGAAGGAAGGCTTTACATGAAGAGTCTGAAACATTTCACAAGAGACCAGACAAAATCCATGAGTAAAGTCAGAGTGACGTTACTGCAGGATGGGAGAGGAAGGAGTGAGGTAAAAGAAGTAGAGAGAGAGTGACAGAAGGAGAGGGCTGGAGAAGGGTAAATAAAGGAAACCACAGCTGAGCCAGCCAGTATGAAACTATCAGGAGGACTCATTACAAAGTGTCCTGAATGAGGGAAAGCACTCTAGGGAGAAGATGAATAGGAGGGTAGGCATAGAGATAAGGTTGGACTAGTCCTGACTGAATGCATCCACAGCAGAAGGAAGAGGAATAGAGGACCAGAAAAGGTAAGTACAGTATTGAGGTGATTGGCAAAAACATTTAGAAGAAAAGTGCCCAGATGAGAGCATAGCAACTTGAACACTAGAGGATCGAGGGACCACTCTGTAGGTAGTATCCTGTCTGGCCTCAAGAGACAATCTGTGACAAGATTCTGGGGACCCAGAATATAACAAGCTAAAGACATATTTGTAAAGAATTAGCCTAGAAAAAAGAGGTCGAGAGAGTGATAACAGAGAGAGCAAGACTGAGTTTCCCTCTGGCAATTAATATAGGAAACAACAGTAGATGTGGCTGTATGTATCATCACTAGACATCCATGAACCATCATAAGAAAATGATCCAAAACCCAATGTACCAACAAAAATTCTAGGAGATGGATATGATGTGACAATTGTTGTGGGACCACTGATCCAAATTCACTCAAGAGTTGAAACATGCCCCCTATCTCTTCAAGGAGGCACCTGAAAACAGATGGAGACCCAGGTGAGAGGAAGAAAGAGGAACACCCCCTATGGTATTTGTTTTATAAAGTTACCAGGTGAAGTCTTTGAGTAAAGAAGGAGAATAATGGAAGATAAGGGATCCCAAGCAAGGATCCAGTGATCACGGAAATGTCACAAGTGAGTATGTCTCCAAGGGGGTATGGAATTTCATAGAAGCCCAAGGACCCAAATCACAGAGAACCTCTCACACAATGAAGAGAGGAGAGGATAGGGTATGGGAAGTTACTCAATTCCTGTCCCTCAAAAATAAGAGAAGAAGGCTTGGTCTTGTGGAGATGCAAACTGACAGCCCCCCCCCCCCAAATAAAGAAGAAACTAAATGAAAAAGCTTAGGTAGATTCAAGACTGCATGGGTATAAGAGTAGGCAAAGGTAGGTGATGGAAAAAAAGAAGGCAAACTCCATTCTGCCATGAGCGAGAAACATAGGCAAAGGTATGTTAGGTACATGAAAGACTCCACCACCCACCGCATAAAAGCCATCACTTCTCCCAATAGACAAAGACAAATCCAATGTAGTTATTAGACTAGTGTGAGCAGCATCTTATTGTTTCACACCAAACAAATTGGAAGTTAATGACACTTATGAAAAAAATTATGTGCAAATAAAGGCCACAAAATCTGCAGATACAGAAAATGCTGGAAAACAAAAATTCAATTATAAATACTTCCACAACATGTAATGTCTTTGTAGATACTTCCACTAAAAAAACACCTATATCTGAAAAGTTTTTGAGCAAAAAACAGATTGTTACACACAAGTGCTAAATCGAGAAGTGATGATTGAACAATCAGTACAGAGTGAGTCAGCTACATTATGAGTGTGTCACACTCCTATTGGTGGAGGGTTGTCGTATGCTCGTTTACATGCTACAGTGCAGTAATACCACATGGAAACATGCAAGTTTAGTTGGGAGCCTCAAGACCAGTGGCAAGCAAAAAATTGCACAAATAGAGGGCAGCACAAAATCGAGGAAAACTAATATGTGAGAGGAGGTAAGGTATTGTGTCAGAATTGTAAATTAAAATTATACATATAGAGAAAATTTAAATTAACTCTCTCACTACAAGGTTAAACAAATTGATCGACCTCGCAACTGCATCATATGTTTTATAGTTTCCATATTATAACTTTTAATACAATATGTGTATCTTCCCAAAATTTGGCACACTTTTAGTAAACATTAGAAGTTTTTATACACAAAAAATCAGATTTCTTAATGAAGTATTTTTACTGAAGATTTGTTAATGAATATATATAGTCTTTTGTTTTAACTATTCTGAGTGTAAAATGATTTCCACATTAAGATTAAAAATACTTTTCTTCATCTCAAAAATCTCAAATTTCTTTTGCATAATCTCTAAAACCTCCTAAATAAATTTCAAATTTATATTTTGTTTTAGTAAAACTTGATATTTTATCTGTTATTTTCTCTACCCTAAGTCTATAGGTTGGTCAATTTGACTGACCTCATAACCACCAAAGAAAAAAAAATCGAAATTACCCTTTTTTCTTTCTAGAAACTACATTTGTTTATACTAACTAATTTTAAACTTGTAACAGTGTACATCAATTTATACTTAAATTTTATTGTTTTATTGCCCTTTGAGCTGTGTCTTACTACTACTTATGCCATTATAAGTTGCAAGTTACTTACCAAATGTGCAGCTCATGTTACACAATCAAATTACATTATGCATTTGATAAATGAAAACTTTGGCTTTCCATTGGTTATAAATAATATAATTGTATTGAAGTATTGAATGTCAGAGAGGACTATTGGCAATTTCTAAAAGAGAGGACGTGACAGGTGGGCATGGCAAGAGGGGTCTAATTTTTTATTTAATGGCTCTGTAACTAAATAAAATTGAAGGCTATGAAAATTACGCTTTGCCTGAGCAATGACATTATAATGAGTAATTCATGTTAACTTTAGTAATTCTTGGAGGGGCGGTAAATAAATTAAAGAAGAGGGGAGGCCTAGAGAGCAAATGTCACAATTATCATATTAGGGGAAATTCATGATTTTTTTTAAATATTGCCTTATGAAATTAAGAACTTAAAACTCGTACACTATTAAAATATGGATTACTAGCTACATTTTTATACTATATTTATTGGTATATCATGAAAAGAAAGTAGTTTAATTAAATTTTGAATGTAACTCACCTTGTGACATGTGCAGAAAAAGATGCCCGTGGAGAGAGTTAAGTTGCTTCAAATTATAAACAAATAATTTTGGTTATAATTAAAAAAATTAGATACAATGGTCACTAGCCTTAGAAATATGGAAAGCTCTTCTTTTGTACTCAGATCTCTTTATAAGCCTACTGTTGTGTAAAAATATCATACAACATCTTACCTATACAACCCTCATCCAGTTTATCATGAATGACAGGATGGATACTTTGCACAGCATTCTGATGAAAGAAATAACTGATATCACATCAATAATTACAATTCCTTTCAATAAATATCAAAAGAAATAATAACCTTCATAACAAAATTAGATTATATTAAGAATACTCCTGTTTCCACCACAAACACATTCTTATTCTGTACTTTGATCAGTCATCACAATTCACTGGTTTCCCACATTTTGGTGCCAAATTTTGCACAATAGTGCACACTTGATTTATCTTGTATATTTGTATATATATATTTGCAATAAATTTATATCAGTCTATGCACTTCGAAGACCTATAACTGAACAATTACAGTTATCCACAAAGTAGCCAATTTTCAGCATTCACACTGACCATGATATGCTAGTATTATCCAAATCAAATTACTCCAGAACCAAAACGAAATGCATCATCAGTCTTTGGGACTGAAATATTTTTACAGGCATATAAATAAAGGTATAGATTTTTGACAATAAAAAGTTATGGAAAATTAAAATAGCTTACTTAAAAGAAAATTTATTTGGAATTAAATTGCAATCAAAAGACTTTCAAAGTATACTGTTCAATAAACAAATGTTTCTTTGGGCTTAAGATTTTTTCTCTATAGCTAAAGGTACTATTAATGAGTACTAGCCTATATGATTTTTCAAATATTTGTTTGTTTTGAATTTCGTGCAAAACTACACGAAGTTTATCTGTGCTACCATCCCTAATTTAGCAGTGTAAGACTAGAGGGAAGGCAGCTAGTCATTACCACCCACCACCAACTCTTGGGCTACTCTTTTACCAATGAATAGTGGGATTGACTGTTACATTATAACACCCCCACAGCTGAAAGGGCAAGCATGTTTGGTGGGACAAGGATTCAAACCTGTGGCACTCAAAATGCGAGTTGAGCACCCTAACCAGTTGGCCATGCCAGGTCTTTTTCAAATAATAGGTGATAAACTTTCAAATTAATCTTTAAATGATTACAACATCAAGTAAATAAAAATCTGCCAAATCAAATGGCAGATTTCAACTGCATTTGAAGGAGTTGGTTAGTGACAGCTAGAATCCTGAATATTTTATTAATTTTCACTTTTATCATTACTTTTTGAAGGAGAGGCGTTAGAAACAGAAATTTTATGAGAGACTAAATGAAAAAAAAGGGCTGTCTGTCCCAGGATTATTTTATATTGTTAAACTCTCCCTACAACTGTGATGAAGAACTGCAGTTACTGGTTATCATGTTACTTGCAATTTTCAATAATAAATCTATTTCAGCCACAAACTGAGAAACTTACAATACTGGAATTGTAAAGAAGTAAAAATACTATAAAAATTATTGGTCACTTCATCAAATGTAAATAAGGCTGGATGAACATAGTTTTACCTAACCTATGTTACTTACTGAATACATGGAAAACATAATACTATTATCTTCACAGAGCAACCAAATACCTATCTTCAAGATCATCCATAAAGTAATCTACCCAGAATAAAAAGTAATTCATGCTGTTAGATTCAAGAGTATGGTAAGCATAATGTAGACTAACTTCAATGTAAAGAAGAAAATTGATGCCTCCCATTTTATTTGGGGAAATAAATAGTTAAACTGATCAAGTGTTATATTGTTTGGTGTAAAGTAGAAATAATATGAGTATTTCTTGATATTCTTCTATTGTATATTTGGAGTAGCATTTTCATTGAATTAGATTTAGTAGGGGATGTATATTACAAATGCCCTAAAGCCAAACATTATGATTCTAATTAGTTGCACAGAGCAATTAAAACAGAGCATCATTAATATATCTCCATAGTATTCTTTTTATATTTTATGAAGAAAAAAATATTATTGATAATAAAAATACATATTTAGAAAAAACAAAAAAAAAACAGAGATATATTAAAAATGACTTTTTATATATTTTATATTTGAGGATCAAAAAAATGATTATTTACAAGTGTCCCTAATACTCTTCTATATATTATATATAAGTATTCATAAATACAATGCTTAAAATTTTGATTTCTATTACCCCTGAAACCTCATCCATACATAACACTTGTTTGTTTAGAATTTCAATAAACCTTCTCCCCAGAAGAAAGTAAAATACAGTATATATTGTAATACAAAGAACATATGTTTTGCCACATTAATGAATACATATTTTTAGTTTCGACCAATCATTAAACATGATTTCAGCTTTTAAATATGACTTGTAAGGAATCAGTACATATCCAACCTGCTACTTTTTGATAATCAATTGATTAAGGGTTATGTTAGTAAAGCAAAAGTACATCACATATAATAGTCTTGATACATACTCTGATAGTATGATGTTAGGCTATATGAGGCTGATGTCTGACACCAGATTCTTTTTGAAACTTATTTCACATACTTAACATAAATTCTCCTTTACATAAGGTATTACATTCATTATCACTCTTGTTTTTTCTGAATCAACTCATGTGTAACTTTATCTATGACTGTCTTAATGCACATATTTGTTTATATCTAGATACATACTATACGTGATACTGCCTTAAATGTTTCTAATTGTAGGAGAATCATGTACAATGTAACCCTTCCAAGAAGGGTCACTTGCACTTGCAAGTCACCACACTTGATTGAATTGCAACAAGAGGGTCATGGCTTTCAACATCTGTAGTCACAAGCCACAGGAATGGCCAAAGGCAAAGTGATTGGATATACAAGTTGTTATCAAATATAGTGAACAACTCTCTAAATTTATCTGGGGTCTTTAAGTAAGTTACCATTTACTAATGAAGATTTCATTAATTTCTATTTTTTATTTAAAAAATGACATTAAATTTTATTAAAGAGTGTAAGAATACTTTAGCTTTTTTAACTTAGACATTTTTACTTTTCAAGTGAAAATATACATGATATTTTTGCAAATTATGAAACAAAAAAATATCAATCCTTACTTGAATATCATTGAAAAGGATCTCAGGATGATATGCTATATTATGTTTTTCAAAATACTCTGTAACATTGGAAAGCAAACATATCTCTGGAACAGAAAACAGATCATTTAACTGCTTCATCCGGCTAGGCTGAAAAACAGAGAATACATCAATCATTCATTTAAATAGCCAAGACAGATTTTGTTAAGTAATGTACGTTAATTATATGCAATGTGTTATTTTTTTTGGAAAGCATTTAGAACCTTAACAAATTTAAAAAATATTACCCAACATTAAAAGTACA